GACTGGTGAGGTTTTCTGGGGCAGATGAGGCCCATGCTCCAGTGTCCCCTGCTGGCGGATGTCCTGTCCGGCTCACAGAACATTCCCTCTCTCCCCCGCCCAGGGTTCCCAGAGCGTGTGGAGCTGGAATCCCTACCCCACTGGCAGCCAGTGGGCAAAAACCTCACCCTGCGCTGCCAGGTGGAGGGAGGAGCGCCCCGGCCCCATCTCTCCGTGGTCCTGCTCCGTGGGGAGGAGGAGCTGAGTCGGCAGACGAAAGTCAACCTCACTGAGGTCACGGCCACAGTGCTGGCAGGCAGAGACGACCATGGAGCCAATTTCTCTTGTCGCACGGAACTGGACCTTCGGTCTGAAGGGCTGGGATTGTTCCAGAACGTTTCAGCCCCCAGGCAGCTCCGAACCTTCGGTGAGGCATGGGAGATCATGCAGGAGGACAGGCTGAGGGGGAGTTCTGGCTTGGGGTGAGGGGTTCTTGGGAAGGAGGGGCCCTTGGCCATGAGGATACTGAGAAGGTGTCGACCTACATTGCAAAGATTTCTGAAAAGAACATCTTCTTGGCCACTGGAGTGTGTGTTAGGGGATAGGGTGCTTGGGCCACGGGATCTTCTGAGAAAGCTGTGACCTAGAGTAAGGGGTGCGAGTGACCCAGGCCACAGCCTCCTGGGAAGAGGAGTTCTAAGCGATGAAATGAAAATGCTCCAGGAAAGGCTTCACTACCCTCTCTGTTCACATCCGCCTTTTCTCACCAGTCCTGCCAGTGACTGACCCGCACCTTGCCGCCCCCTTGATCATGGAAGTGGGCACGCGGTGGCTGGTGAACTGCACCCTGGTTGGGCTGTTCCCAGCCTCAGAGGCCCAGGTCATGCTGGTGCTGGGGGAGCAGAAGCTGGAACCCACAGTCAAGTACAACGATGACTTCCTCTGGGCTAGCGCCTGGGTCGAGGCGAAATCAGAAGAGGAGGGCACCCACCAGCTGACGTGTGCCGTCATCCTGGGAAACCAGAGCCGGAGGTCGCAGCAGACTGTGACCATCTACAGTAAGTAGAGACCAGGGTGGGGCTTCTGAGGGGGTGTGGCCAGCACTAGGGGCTGGGCTCACTGTGTACTCCATCCCCAGGCTTCCCTGCTCCCAGCCTGACCCTGAGCCAGCCCGAGGTCTCGGAGATGACTGTGGTGAGCGTGGAGTGCAAGGCCCATGCTGGAGCCATGGTGACGATGCTGAGTGGGGCTCCAGCCGGGCCTCCAGCCTCAAGCGTCCAATTTCAACTGAACGTTACAGCCGAGGATAATGGGCACAGCTTCTTGTGTTCTGCTGCCCTGGAGGTGGCTGGAGAGGTGCTGTACAAGAACAAGACCCTGAAACTCCATGTTCTGTGTGAGTGGGACCGCTGGACAATGACTTCTAATCTCCAAGGCCCAATCCCTAAGACGTCATGAGCTCCTGACCTCTGGGGCCCACCCCTGTGCCCACCTGGGTGGCCTCCTCACTGGGTACCTGCCTAAGTCCTCCGGTCCTAGGTGGTGAGAAAGGTGTCATGGTCCCTGACTCAGTCCTTCATCTTGCTGTGTTTCTCCAGATGGCCCCCGACTAAATGAGAAGGATTGCCCAGGAAATTGGACGTGGCAGGAAGGCTCCCAGCAGACCCTGAGGTGCCAGGCCTGGGGGAACCCAACCCCTAAGCTGGACTGTCGCCAGAATGGGACTGGGTCTTTGCTGCCCATCGGGGACCTGAGGCCTGTCAAGAGGGAGATTTCAGGCTCCTATGTGTGTCGGGCCAAGAGCAGTCGCGGTGAGGTCATCCGTGAAGTGGTCGTGAACGTGATCTGTGAGTATGCTGGTGTTCTGGGCTGGGCAGGGCAGGGCAGGGGCAGTGAGCCCAGCTCAACCCTCATCATTCCCTATTGTTCTCACAGACCACGATAATAACGTGATCATCATCGTGCTGGTGACAGCTTTAGTCATCGTGAGCGCTGTACTCACAGGTGCTTACCTCTATAACCGCCAGCGGAAGATCCGGGAATACAAGCTACAGAAGGCCCAGGAGGCGGCTGCCATGAAGCTGAACACACCACCCTGAGCCTGTCCTAGGACAAGGCCTCCACTGGTGACATCGGTGCTGCATTGAGCAGTGGTGGACATATACCATTCAGCTGCATCTGCCTTCCCAGGATGCCAGAGGACAGACTAGACCTCAGTCAGGATACACACAACATTCAGGGTCATGGTACCTGCACACTTAGTACCTCCAGGCCTCACGCTTGACCTGTAGCCACAGGTTGAGCCAAGACTTGGGGGCAAGGCTCGGGGTATGACTGAAAGGGATGTCAAAGGCTGACCCGGCCAGAGGGGTATGATGGAGACGCACACCTCCAACACGGGGGACACCCATCTGGGAAACATCAAAACTCACCCCCTACTGCGTGTGCTGAACCCTTACAGTTCTGAGAGAGGGGACCGCGCCAAACATAGGCAGTACTGAAATACAAATCCCTACACTTCCTTTGATAGATGCCAGCTCTGGCAGTGCTGTCCACTGACTGTTGCCAACTCTTGGTGATATATTTATTCAGTTGTTCTTTTACCAGGTATTTATTAGTGCCTTTGATGTGGGGTAGAATGGTAAATAAGACGAACAGAGGTTTCTGCCCTTAGGGAGCTCTGTCTAATGTCATTCAGGGTTGCCAGGTACAGTTGTGTTGGCTGTGCACTGCACAAGAGCGCCTGGCGAAAGGATCCAGTGGGGCGGAATTTCCCACTCCATCGGCCAAACTGCTTTCCTCCAGAAGGGGACTCCCGGTGCAACACGGTCTAGCTGGTGACATGCCCAGGGACGACTCACGGAGCCCTGACCACCCAGCACTGGTGTTGACATCTGTTAGCCACCTCTCCACCCATATGCATCTTTGTTAGTGCTCACAATGACACTTGGTGGCATGCCTAAACATGAGTGCCCAATCCTTGGCAGCTAAAGTATGGAGTCCCATGAAACTATGTCCAACCCCTCTTTGCCCCTGCTTTGTCCTGTTTCCATCTCATTGGGACCATGCAAGAAAAGAACTCTGGCAGCTCCAAATTCCTTCAGTGATGAGGGCCCGACAGGCAGTGGGGAGGAGAGGCCTTGGAGGACCCCCTCCCAGGTCCGGAAGCCTCTCCCTTGTGCTAATAAAGCTTTTTCATCTGGCTCAGCCTTGTGTGAATTGAGGGGAAGTGTCACATCCAGATGGAGCTCTTTCTAGCCCTACCACAGCCCTGTCCTCCCACTTCCTCTCCCAAGAAAAGGCTGCAATTCAAGACCCAACCCTGAGGCCTTAATCCAAATCTGAGTTTATCAAGAACTTTTGAGACGCTAGTGAAAATTAAAGATCCTTCTCTGGGGAAAAATACTAGGACATTGGTTTATAATGGTGTCTGGAATCCCCTTCTTGAGTCAAGGGAGGGGGGTATATATTGCAGGGCTCCTGGGCCCTCCGGGAGCCTCTATCTCTCCGGGTGGGGCTGAGAAGGCGGGGCTTCGAGCCTCTTTATCTCCAGAGCCAGCCTTGGCTTCCTGGCGCGGGGTCCCTCAGTTCGGCTTTTTGCCATGGGGTTGCTGCTCCACCTCTCTCTGGTGGTTTTGCTGGCTGCCGCCTATCCGGGAGGAAGGAGCGCGCTGAGGCGCCGGGCTGCGCCCGCACAAGGCTCCGGAGATAGCTCTCCAGCGCCCTCGGAGACCAAAGCGTCGTTCTGGGTGCGCATAAGCCCCAAGTTCATGGCTGAGCCACCTGGGAGTTCAGTGTGGCTCAACTGCAGCAGCAGCTGCCCCCGGCCAGAGGGTTTCAGCCTCCGTACCGGACTGCAGCGAGGCCAGAACATCAGTGGGCCCAGCTGGGTCTCCTTCCAGTTGCTGGATGTGAGGGCCTGGAGCTCCAACGTGCACTGCTTCGTCACCTGCGCAGGAGTAACACGGGGTGCCACCGCCAGGATCAACACCTACAGTGAGGGAAAGGGACTCAGGCCCAGTTTGGGGTGAGAGGAGGGGGACATGGGTGGGGCAGTTGACAGTCGCGCTAGGTGGCGCCCGCGGACCTTGCTCAGCGGCCCCCTCTTGCTTTAGAACGGCCACACAGCGTGATCCTGGAGCCTCCAGTCTTAGAGGGCCGTAATTATACTCTGCGCTGCCACGTGACGCACGTGTTCCCCGTGGCCTTCCTGGTGGTGAGTCTGCGGAGCGGCGGCCGGGTCATCTACTCCGAGAGCCTGGAGCGCTTCAAGGGCCCGAATCTGGCCAATGTGACGCTGACTTATGAGTTCCCGGCCAGGCCCCGCGACTTCTGGCAACCTGTGACGTGCCACGCGCGCCTCAGTCTTGACGGCCTGGTGGTCAGCAGCAGATCGGCACCCGTGATGATAGACTTTGGTGAGTCACTCTTGTAATCCTGGGGACTTGAGGAGGGGTGGAGAAGAGTTATGACCCCGGGAGGGTGCGCAGGCCAAGCTTGAGAGGCCATGCGGGTCGTCACACCTCCAAGTGCTCCGTTCCTAATTCTCACCTCCTGCCTCTAGCTTGGAGTTCTGTGTCCAAAGCCGTGGCTTCTACCTCCATCGCAGCCCTTGTGGTGATCTTTCTCGGTGTGGGGGCCGCCTACCTGCGAAAGAACCTACTGATGCAGTCCAAGCGTAGAGGTTTTCCATGCCGGCTGTGTGTGAGCAAAAAGGAATCTGGAACAATTTAAGGAACCTTGCCTGGATCAATAAAGCCTTCCTCAGCCTACCTCTGTCCCGCTGCCTAAAGGTCCACCACTAGTGCACACCCTCAGAGAAGCGGGTTTTTTTGGCCTTCTTGCAGTCACTTTCTCCAAATTCCTTGTCTCCCCGATGGCACCTGAGGTTACTCAGAGCCTCAATCGCTCCGCATTGCTAGCGGTGTAGTAAACACCTGCCTTGCGGACATTATCGGTGCGGTGCCGCTGGGTAAAGCCTGAGCGCCTGAGGGCCTTGGGCTGTGGGCGGGTACCTTCAAGGTATTACTTTTCCTGATTGGCTCCTCTGTTAACACGCAGCAGCTCTGATTGGATATTACGTTTCCTTTCCCATCCCCCTTCTTTCCACTTTGATCCTGCACTTAACTGTAGTACAAGGATAGGGCGAGAACTGAGCCCAGAGTTCACTTGTCAGCGATGGGAATAAGGGCACAAATGGGCAAGGTCACAGGGATATACCGAGGGCGTGCATACGCAGAAAAGGTACCCATGTTGTGACTGCGGAGAAGGAGCAATCGGATGGTACATGTTGGGTGGCTCAGACTCGCGTCCTGGCAATGTCCTGATGGTCACCGGGCCTGGTGGGTACACAAGAGTGTCAAAGCTTGAGGCCCGGATGCTGGGTCAAAAGTGTCACAGCTGGTCTTTTGGTCTCGCATGGTCACAGAATCCGGACCCGTACTGAATGCCTGGCAGGGCCCGCGTGGTCCAGGACCCCGCTCACCGC